ACCTCTGCCGTCATCTTCACACAATGTTTTCCCTGCGTGCGTGTCTCTGTGTCCAAAATTCCCCTTTTTATATAAGACGCCTTTCATATTGAATTAAGGCCCATCCTAATGACTTCATCTTAATGAAGTCTATCTGGAGTGATTCTATTTCCAAATAAAGTCACATTCTGAGGTACTGGGAATTCAAAAGTCATAGGACATGAATTTAGGGGAGACACCAATATTGAACATTATTCAATGCAACAAAAATTCATAGGATTTATGGATTTTGGGAGGACATAATTTGGCACGTACAAACTTGGGATAATTTCATCTACTCTCATGCAGTCTTTCAGAGAGGCACCTGGTACCTTTCAACCCCTGAGTGATGTTGTGTAGATTAGCCAGTTCCACCTCTCAGCCCTGGAGGAGGGGTGTGTCCAGTGGGGCGTGGCAGGACTTACCGAAGGCCTATAATGGTGCTATAATGGAGCACCATGGCCCAATAGGGGTCAGAACCAAATAAGCTTTTTCATGATATAACAGGAACCCAGGAGCACGCCAGAAAAGTCAGTAAATGGAAAGCTCCAGCCCTTGGTAACATCCTGTGGCCCACTGAGATCACACAGGCCAGATACACCTGGTTTAGAACCTTGGAGCCAAGCGGCTAGCTCAACCCCACTCAGCACCACCTCGGCTCCTCACACCTTCATTTATTCTGTCGGAGTGTTTTTGTTTGGTTCTGCCTCTGTCTCTCACTGGACTATAAACTCCTCTGAAGTTGAAGATAATATTTTATTTATCTGCTAACCCCTCCTGTTCCTGTTGGTTAAGGTTTCCCTCAAGTAGAGACTCAATTAAATAGGACTTTTTCAAAGGGAAGGGAAAGATATTATCATCTTGTAAGGAGAGTTGAGATGTAATCATGCCCCAAAGCAGAGGCAAGGGTACTGTGAAAGGTTTCCTGTAGTTCCTTTTGGCAGCAGACTCTAGTAAGGTGATAGTTCTGTTCTCCTTCAGCACCTAATGTCAGTGCTCTTTCAAAGGTTTAGCTTCAGGAAACCTAGACTTGCGAAAGCATGGCCCTGACAATAGCAAGGTTTAAGAAATGGCCCATCCAATTTGTGCAAGATGTGCTCTGAACTGCATGATGGACCTGAGTGCCGGCTTTCCGCACGTAATGTGGACCAAAGCTCTGGGTCACGTTCAGTGATCACCAGTAAACTTGGGAGCAGAGTTCCCAACCTCCAGGAAGAGCAGGACACAGTTCAAAAGGCCTTGTTTTAAACACCCTTCTACTGAACCAGATCTGTTTCTCAACATGCACTCAGAGCCATCCTGGACAGTGTCCCCCTCCCTAAAAAATCACATGTCCTTGGATGGGGCAAAAGCCAGGACTCTACTGGAGCTGTTTGCCTTGCCACTGCAGGCCCCTGGCCTGAATTACTTCTCACTTAGAACAGCATTCCTCTGGCTTCTGGAATATGAACTCAGGCCTGTAGCCACTTCCCTAATGTTCCCACTTAAAAGATTTCATCATCTGATACATGTGGGGCAAATAGCATTCAGTCATTTCTTTCTGCCTCAAGTCTTAGTCCCTTTGATTCAAGTGACTAAGCCCATGCAGAGAGGCTGCTAAATGGCACAGGCACACGTCGGTGCTTCGCCAGGCCTGGCACCTGGACTCCCAAGGAGCTCATGACTTAGAAACTTAGAAATGAAAGCCACATCAGGCTTGGTGCATGCAGGTGGTGGTATTTCCTGGCCATCCTGCAGATAGCCAGACCTTTGTGGTGACGGAGTCAGCACCTTTTGCACCAGTTACCTCTGTGGCTTGAGAGTACTGTGCTTATTATGGCCAAACCAAGGGAACGTTGTACAAACTGTTCCTGTCTGGATTCCCCTGGATTTCTATGCCTTTGTTTTTGTGGTGGCTCAGATTTCTCCAGTGGGAGTGTAGAGGTCACTGCATACAGAGAACCTCACCCTGATAGCGATCTCTGTCCCATGTATGCATTGATTTGAAAACATTACTGTTTTCATCTTCCTGCCATGTCGTAAAATTATGAGACACAGCCATCCCTTGATTATCAGACTTGTGCTTGGCTGTAATAACAGACTCCATTCATGGTGGAGTAATTGAGAATGGAGCTCTAATTACACTGCTGTGCCAGCCACAGGAAGGAACAGGAGAAAGGCTTGTTCTTTTTCTTTTTTTAAATGCCAATTTATTTATTTATTTTTCATACTATATATACATAATTTTTTTTTAGCATTTTATTTTTTTTATTTTCCTCTTCTCTTTTGGTAACCACTAGTCCATTGTCCATGTCCATGAGTCTCTGTTTGTTTGTCCTGTTCATTTGTTGCTTTTAGGTTTATATTCCACATATGCGATATCATGTGATTTTCAACCTTTTCTGTCTGGCTTATTTCGCTTAGTATGATTATTTCAAGATCCATCCATGTTGTTGCAAATGGCACTATTTCATATCTTCTTATGGCTGAGTAATATTCCATTGGATATATGTACCACAGCTTCTTTAGCCAATCATCTAATGTAGGACACTTCAGTTGCTTCCATGTCCTGACCACTGTGAATAATGCTGTTATGAACATCAGTGCGCATATATCTTTTCGAATATGAGTTTTCAAGTCTTTGGAGTAAATACTGAGTAGAGGGATTGCTGGATCATATGGTAGGTCAATTCTTAGTTTTTTGAGGAACCTCCATACTGCTTTGCATAGTGGCTGTACCAATTTGCAGTCTCACCAGCAGTGTATGAGGGCTCCTATTTCTCTGCATCCTCTCCAGCATTTGTTATTACATGTCCTGTTGATTATAGCCATTCTAACAGGTGTGAGATGGTATTTCATTGTGGTTTGATTTGCATTTCCCTAATAGCTAGTGATATTGAGCATCTTTTCAAATATTCGTTGGCCATTTGTATGTCCTCTAGGGAAAAGTGTCTGTTCAGGTCCTCTGCCCATTTTTTTTGATTGGATTGTTTATTTTTTTGTTGTTATTGACTTGTATGAGTTCTTTGTATATTTTGGATATTAGGCCCTTTTTGGAGGCGTTGCTTGCAAATATATTTTCCTATTTCAATGGTTGCCTCTTTACCTTGTTGATGGTTTCTTTTGCTGGAGAAAGGCTTGCTCTTGAACCCTGTGGAGGGTCTGCACTTGGACGCTTGTCTCGCCAAATCCGTTGGGCTAATTTGTGGCCTGGCCTTACCTGTTATGAGGATGTTATGAAACACATTTCTCTGTTGTAACCTTCTGTGCGTTTTTTGTTTTTGTTTTTTCCTACTCCCTTTTCTCCTTTACTCATTGTCTGTATTTATTTATATATACATTAGGTGTAATTTTTTTTCAAATTTCAAGAGCACTGAAGTCCATTGTAGAAAAATTAGAAATGCTGATAAGCAGAAAAAATAAAAATAAAAAAGTTTCTTTTTACTCAACATGCCACCACCTAGAGAAAACTACTGTCAGTGAACGTTCCATTCCCAGTTTTTTCATGCACATTTTTTTAAGCTTCCATTTTTCACTTAACGATATTTTGGGGTAGCTTTTATGTCCACAAAAGTTCATCAATGTGGGACGGCTGGATGGAAGAATCACAATTTATTTAACCAAGTACACGTCATTGGCCATTTAGTTTATTTCCCATTGTCAACTTTTAGAAACAATGTTATAGTGAATGTCCTGTGACCAAGTATTTGCACACATTCTCAGTTGTTTTCTCAGGATGAATTCCTCCTACAGTGGAATTGGTGGGTCAAAATAATAAATATACATTGTCTTTAACTTTGTATTATAAAAACTTAAAATATATATACCACACAGACAGAATGCTGTGTTGAACCCTCATTTCCCCCAGTCCTGCATTGTGTAGAAACAGATCCAAGATGTCATGACAGAAAGACTTGTATCTGTCAAATAGCACAGGTCTTTGAAAATGAGAGAGGAAAAAAGTGAATTACTAGAAAATAAAACAAAAGGCTAACATCTTGTCTGCGTTATCCATTGTGTTGTTTCGGCCATTTCCATTTTCCCTGCTGTATCTAGGCTCAGGACCCATTTGTGTTCTGGCTTCCTGCAAGTCTTGTAAACGGTCTCTTTTTTCTTTCTCTCCCTTTGGATAAGTATATATGTTTTTAAGCTATTTCATAGCTTGCCAAATTGTGCTCCAGAAAGGCTAATGAAATTTATACTTCCACCAGAATCTTATGGGAATGTCCTTGCTGGTGGATAAAGTTTTAGTTTCCCCCTTTCTTTTCCTGCCTGTCTGCCTGACTGACTTCCTTCCTTCCTTCCTTCCTTCCTTCCTTCCTTCCTTCCTTCCTTCCTTAAAAACTTCCTTCCTCCTTCCTTCCTTCCTTCCACCTTTGTTAATTTTCTAGACCCCTCCCAGAATGTCATTGCTGTTTTAATTAGAATGTATTTGTTATTAATGAGATTAAAGCCCTCCCCCCATTTCCTCACTGAACGATTGTATGTCCTCTTTGCGAACAGCCTTTTGCTAAATTTTCTATTGAGATGTTCATCTTTTTTAAATTGTGTTCATTTGATCTCATAGCATTGTATTTATGTCAGTGAATTGCTGTGAGTACTTGTTTGGGCTAAGATAACATATATTACATTTGTGTGGACAAACAAGTGTGTTTTATAAAGCTAACAGCTCAGAACAGCAAATTACTATTAACGGTCAGAGAAACAAGTGTGGGGGAGGCATGCCAGTGTGGGGAGGGGCCCAGGCAGGGACAAAGGGAGACTTGCAGGTCACTTAATCATCAGTTTTCACAGTCATCCACCAGGCAGATAAAATAGATAAAGCAGGTATTTTCCCCATTTTACAATGATTTGTGTGGCAGGGCACACCTTTTCAGCCCAAATCCAGGAGTTTTTCTACCATATCACACTGATTCATATGTTTATTTATAGAAGGCAAATAAAGCATTAAAATATATCAATATTAGTAAATATGAAACACTTTTTTTTTTAATTTTCTATAGCGTGAAGGTCCAGGACCAGGTTATTATGACTTGAAAATACCTTCGACAACTTCTGTTAGTTCTTGTTTTCAATCCAAAGTACCTCGATTCTTGCCCGCCTGTTCAGTAAGTTTTCTAAAAGGCAGAGAGTATCATTGTAAATTTTGTGACAGTGTGTTGGGGGGCAATGGGGGTGGGATGGGGTGTATTATACTTACATACAATTTTAGTGTATATAAAATTACTTGTCAAGGCAGCAAAGAGAATAGAGCTCAAATAGCTGGCAAACCCTCTGCCAGCTTTAGGCTCGGAGGGACTCCAGGCCTGAAGACTACTGCTGAATTATGGGTCCAGATGAGAACAACCAGCACAGTAATTAGCTATCCATGTTATGACCTGGATGCTTTGTGGAGAAATACTTTTAATGAATTGAGGCAGGCAGGGGACAGTGGCTGCCCCCATCCATCCAGAACTGCCTTTCTTTGTGTGTGTGGCTTCTGAGAGCAAAAAGTGAGAGCAGAGACACTATTATTGAACCAAAGGGGACCACTAAGACATGAATAATCATTCTGCCCCAAGAACTCAGGACAGACAGAGAAGAGGCTCAAGTCTATAGAGAGATATAAAGAAGGTAGAATCTGAGAGTATGCGAGAACCTCGAAGGCCTAGAGAAGACCAAGGAAGATCTCGAAAGCATAACATGGAGTTATAAACAATGGCTTTTTTTTTTTTCTTAAATTCTAAAAGACAGTTTTAATTCCCATGGCCTTGGTGTTTCCAGCATGCACCCCAGTCTGAAAGTCCCCCAAACTCGCTGGTATGTAGCCTTATTTGGAATGGTTGGGAGACAGCAATACAAATTCTGCCTATAAGGAAATGGGCCCACCCTGGGAGATGAAGGAAGGGGGCTGAAGCTGGGCAGAGGGTAGGAGAGGGCTAGTACTGCCACTGTCTGGGCCTGCAGGTTACCTCTGCAGCCCTACCTGTGGTATCTCAGGCTCTCACCTTCAGGATCTCGCTCCAGAGCTGCTGACTGCAATGTCGGGTAGTATGCTCTTTATCTGGAGGTATGAATACTGGGGAGGCCCTGCCAGTAAAAGTAAAAATAGACCGACAACAGGAGACCAGTAGATCCCTTCAGCAGATCCTCATACCCTAGTGGCATCACCATGGTCCAGACACAGATTTTTGTCAGAATTCACAGGGCTGAGCATGCTGAGGAAGTTGGAGTCATGCTAACCAATCTCCTAGGGAAATGATCAAGAGGCCAGAAGGTGTAATATTAATTTACAAGTGTTAGAGGCCACTGCTCTGTGGAGTGTCTCCCATTATAGGAAACTGTTTATGGAAGCCAAGGACAACCAGGAGTTTGCTTGGTGACAGTGAAATCAGGGCTGGGAGATGGAGCCGGTTGTTCTCAAGGTCTGAGAAACAGAGCTGGCAGCCTCCTGAGGGGTGGCCTTGCGGGGCCCAGGCCCGTAAGCCTCCCGTCCTGTGGGCTGGCCACCCAGGATTCCACACGCAAGCTGCTTCCTCATGAACAGCACTAATAAAGGCTTCAGCTTCTTTTGACATCCGGCCAGGACTTGATGAGATTTCCAGGCTGCTCCTCTGCCTTTGGCAAGAGAAACATCCTGTCATTTACAGCAGCTTCTGCAGGCAGCTGACCTCATCTACGCTGGGCTGACTCTCTGTCCCACCATCAGGGTAATCCAATTTCCACTCTCACTGTCCCCTGAAGAGATAACAAAGAGCAAGAAAGAAAGAAAGGAAATGACAAGAAGGTGGTAACAGGGAATAATGCTAGCGGTGGTAGCTAACGTGTGGAGCACATGGCTGGCCTGGCTTGGTGCTCTGTCCTGGAGGACCTCACTGAGCCTCAGAACCTCATTGGATGTGAGACGCCGGGGAAGCCCATGGCCCAAGGTCACACCCAGCCATCGAGTGGGACTAGGACCCGAACTTAGGCCTACCTGACAATAAAACACTTCCGTTAACCATATACAGAGACACTTGTGTCTCTCCGACAACCCAAGAGAAAATGCCTTTGGGTTTTGAAAATGTGTGTGTGCATCCCAGCATGCAACACGTTGACTTGAGAAATTGAAGTCTTAGCCTTTGAAAATGACAGTCATTTGCATTTTATCACTATAGAAGAGAAGCTTTGTTTAAATAATTGGTACAATAATTTTTAAAAGAATTTTATCAAGTAAATTTTATCAATTTTATCAACACTTTTAAAAAGTAGAAGTTGTAGATCCCTTGAGAATACTTCTGACCCTGGGGTCCATAGACCCTGGCAGAGAAACCTCTCATTACATCATGCTGGGTCAACAACAGAAACACGTGAGTTTGGACTTTTGAGATCAACCATCCAAGTCGAGAATCCGTTCTCTCCAACCTCTTACCACTAGACCGAGGTCACTAGGGGAGAGGACTATTGCATTTCCAGGGGCAGGAACTCCCTGGGTGGAGGGTCCGTTAGAAGAAAGTGTGCCTTGAGGTGCAAGTGACATGTGAGCTGCCTCCCCCACAGGTCTAGGTCGTCACTTGCTTCTCCACTGTCCCTCAGCACCTTTGCCTTCTTGGGGAGAGCTGCTGACAGGAGCAGGCCTCAAGGACACAGGCCAATGCAAAGGTGTCCCAGGCCTCAGCCCAGGCCGGTGTGGTCCTTGTCTTCCTCTGTGGAGATTTGCCAGCCACGGCGGCTCCAACAGTCAGGCTCGGGAGCCTCTGGGGTTTTGGTGTCTCGCTCTCATCAGTTCCTGTTTTCTGTTCTGTTTTCAGAAAACCCCAGGCCCAGGAGCATACACCTCTTCAGCACAATTCCCCAGGCAGCCCCGGACGATAGCCAAAATGGGGCGAGAACACAGCCTCTTCTTCAACAACACAGTTGGCTTTTAAAATAAAGCCATCTCGCTCCTAAGCTACTTTGAGTTTTAGCAAGTTCTTGTTAAGACAACTGTTTTGTGTACTCTTTGGAGGATTTGAGTCAGGACCTAGCAGATTGCCCAGGGTGACCATCCAGCCTGCTTATCTGGAATAATTCCAGCATAACTTTCAGTTCACTCTCAAAAGTGTCCTGGTTGAACAATAAATTATATGCTCAATCTGTTTATTATCAAAGAACGTATTCCTAGAGACTGTGCCTCTGGGCTGCCCTTTGCAGCAGCTCAGGTGGCCCTGGTGTGTCCAGGCTGTGCTCTGTGCAGCCTTGGGCTCTCCAGCTGAGTCTCGACTGTACTAGAGTTGTATGTAATACCTCCTGACCTCATGGAGACTTTCTTGGGGAAGAGGTGAGGGGTTGGCATTCAACTAAGGCCAAGCTGAGCTTGACAGGATCCCAACAGATGATTCTTTCTCTCTCTCATCTCCTTGAAAAGAAAAATATTTATTCAATCCAATGAGTATTCGTGATTTCAAGTCAAAAATATTTTGAGTATCTACTCTGTGCCAGGTATTGTGTTGGGGTTGAGGAGCGGGAGCTTAAAAGGTGAATAAGGCATGAGACTGAATTTGGGGAGGTTGTAAGAGAGACAAGGTCAGGAAGGTAGTCTTGGGTAGTCTTTGGCTTGAGGAAGTCTTTGAAAGCTGTGCCATATAGCTCATTCTGGTCACCTTGTGTTCGAAGCTCAGGGGCTGCCCTCACGCAGATGGCAGTTCCACTGAGAAGACAGGCCCTATAGGGTCTCAGGAACCTTTGAAATTACTGTGCCTGGTATAGAGAGGAGCAATTCTGACAATGCAGGCCACAGGCAGTCAGAGCAGGGACGAGGCAGCATGAAGAGGGCAGTTTGGCTGGCACCTAAGCGACCAAGAAGCCAAGTGGCAGAGAGGAAAGGGGAGAAGGTGAAAGGCAAGGAACCTTGTTTGGGCGAAAGGCAGGAATAACATTGCTGGAATGGAACTGAGGGAGCCCGGCCCAACTAGAGTGAAGGGTGCAAGGGAGGGTGGGAGGGGGTTTGAGTGAAGCTTGGTCAGAAGGCGGGGACCACATGCAGCCACACGTGCCAAGAAGTCCTGCTCAAGGCACTCTAGCTAGACAGATCAGATGCATGATAGCTGGCGTCTCACAAAGTCTGGGGAGATTCCAGAGTCATTAATAACTAATTGGAAGAAACCTTTTTTAAATGCTTATATAGCATTTTGTTATATTTTAAAAGGAGAGAAAAATCAACCTTTCTTCTCTAGTCTTATAAGCCCTTAAAAAATGAGTATTGGGGGCAAAGAAGGGAAGGCCATCACCTCGCCGAATTTATTCAAGTGTCACATTTGTAAAAGAAACTCCCTGCATTCCATTCCTTCAGAGCTGAAAACAGCCACTTAGAAGATCAGAGGGCTATCTCAGGGGTGGTGGCTCTTGGCCCACTTTGATCAGAAGGTGGCTGCAGGGCAGATCATTCCGAATTTTATTCTCCAAGTCGGGTGAGAGTCTCCTGCAGAATCAGAAAGTACCGGCTGGCAGTTCTGATGACTGGTGTTTTCTCAAGTTGCTCTGGTGCTCAGAGACCCGGTTCTCGAGAGAGAGGCGAAAGGTGGTCATGTCTTAGGCAGGGCTCGTGGATGGGAGTCAGAGGAACCCCTTACGCCAGCAAGGTGAGGAGGGAGAGTGCGCTGTCAGTATGTAGAGCCAAAAGCTGGCAGGAGCCACCTCTCTCTCCCTGTTTCTCCTCCACCTCTCTCTCAGGCTTGCTTTTCTTCCCTCAGCATGCTGACTTTCACTGCCTTTTTACATGATAGGGTCTAAGGTAGCTACCACAGCTTCTCACATCCTTTCCTGAGCCAGCCCCCTAAAAGGATGAACCCAGCCCCTCTTGGTTCCAGTGTCAGATTCCTAGGAGAGAGAATCCAGTCGGCTAGCTTGGATCAGGGCTCCAGCCCTGGCTGGGCCCTTCAGCTATGGCCAGGAGGGCCTAGACCCTCGGTGCAGAGAAGCCTGCAGGGCCCCAGCTGTGTGGGGCGTGTGTAACTGGGGTGCTTGGCAGCTCCCTGGTGTCCTAGGTGAGACTGAAGACCCTTTCAGAATAAGGAGAGAGTGTCTTGACTGACCTGCAGAGAATTCACTTGGAGGTAGAATTGCTGGAGAACATTCTGCAGGGCCATCTGGACACCTGATGTTTTGGGTCATTCCCCTGAGTTTTGCTTTTGGCTCTCATGACTTCTGTCTTTCATGAGCTGGAGGTACCTCAGCCCTGTCCTTATTGGTCTTGCCATCTGGCCATAATGCAGCTCTGGGAATGTGACAGACTGCCCTAGGTATTAGGTAAGATGCTGGCAGGATCTAGGTGGTGAGAAGAGATGTTTTACTCCTTCTCTTTGATGTATTCTAATATTTTTATAGTATTTCTTATGGCTAGGGAAGGGTTTTCCCAGAGACCAGAGGGATTCTGGATGGCTTTTTCCTGCCACAAGCCTAAAATTGAGACAGTATTTGAAGAGCAGGGCCTTTTTCCATCCTTTCCAAGATGGAGAGACTGGACACATTTGGGTTGGCTTTGAACTTGAGCTCTGAGATTGAGATATTAATACCTGGCAGCTAGGACTGTTGTGCACATCAAACGACATCTCCAAGAAGGGCTCAGAGAAGCCCAGAGCACAGCAGATAGAAGCAATTGCGGCCTTTATCCTAAGTCTTGAGAGGCCTTCCCTGCAGGGCCCCTCCTCCCTCCCGCATTGACTGCTGTGACACGGGCTTCTCGAGGTCCCTGGCCTGACTTTCTCGAGCATCTCTCTATTCCTCTCCCCTTTCACCCCTACCCCCAACTGCCCTCTGTATTTGGCTTCAATCAAAGGGAATGGCTTTTATTGGCTGCAAATAACTTCTGCTGTTTCCATGTGAAATTCCCTCTCCATTAAGTCAGAGCATGTCAGAAGTCACAGCACAGCTTGTCATCTCCCTTTTTCTCTCTTTCTCTCCATCCTCATCCCTCCTCCCCTCTATGCTCTCTGAACCTACAGGCAACACCTTCCAGATCCAGAGGCCGAGGGCCTCAGGTTGCTTAGGTGACTGGCTCCTGTCTCCAGCATCATCTCTTACCTGCTTGATGCCACCTACCTCGATGCAACAGAGCTGCCTGGACTTGGATCTCCACTCTTAGGATTACTTTGAAAGCCCTGTTATCTTGAAAACACAGTTCAAAATCTACGAGTTCAGAATTAGTTGTTCTAAGCTGCATTTTGGAATCCCCTGGGGAGACTTTAAAAATATTGGTGTCTGTCAGCTCCCAGACAGATCACATCAGACTCTCTGGGGGTAGGACTTGGGCCCAGCATCTGTTTTAAAGCTCAAGCCCCTCCCCCCACCGCAACGCCAGTTGATTCCAATGAGTGGCCAAGGTTGAAAACTACTACAGAGATGGTGTAAAGGCAGCAATCGCCAATGACTCTGGGCAGCATAGATAGTTCTCCCAACCCTAAAGGTTTAAGAAGACAGACCCTTGGCCTTAGAGGTCCCTCTTGAACTATGAAGAAGAGATTGACCCATGTGAGCATCTGGCTAAGTCCAAAGGAAAGAGAATGGCACAGGAATAGTTTGTCTGGGTGAAGCTACTACCTGGAGCCATACCAGGTAGAGGTTGGACAGCAGGGGCCTGAACCAGGCACCGCTTATCAGCCTGATTCCTGGCTGGGCTCTTCACGGACCTTTAGATTTGGCCAAAGGCTACAGGCTTGCTGGGCCTGCCAGGCCCAGAGGGGGTGGTTTGGGCTCTGGATTCAAGGCCACAGAGGGGGCTTTTGGGAGCCAGTGCCAGAGAACCAGACCCTAGCTGGGCTCATCTGCAGCCTCTCCGGAGAAAAGGCAACTCTGGATGGCAGGAGGAGCCAAGGCTGGATCCTCAAAGGCTGGGGGTAGTGAGTAAGAAAGGGAGGAGGTGGCAGATGGGAAGAAGGAGTGCTGGAGGAAGGGGAGCCCCAGGGGGTGGACACGTGGAGAAGTGGGTGCTCCTTGTTGCCTTGTTAACAACACCCTTGACCATATCAGAGCTCAGAAAAAGATGTCACTCTCTGAAGTGTGGTGGGGACTCAGAGAGGCCCAGTCAGCAATGTGGCTGCTTTGAATGGGAGTCTGGCTTAGTCTCTGAGAACTGTAGACAGGAAAGTGGGCTCAGGCCCCATGACACTGCATCTCTGGTCACCAGAGTAGGCTAGGCAGGGGCAGGAAGCAGGGACTGACAAAGCTTTCCATTCAATTGACCCCACTGGAACAGAGTGACCTGGGAGGGTACTGGGTGGGACAGTAAGGCAGTGCATTAGGAGATGTGAGGCTCACAAACAGAGCCTAGTGCTTGATAGGGGCTGGCCACTGCTCTTCATCTTCTTTCTGAAGTCCAAGAGCTCAGAAGCCCTGCATGGTAACTGAAGGCCATCAGGGAGAAAGGAAGTTGCTGGAGCTTCCTTAATTCAACAGGAGCAGAGGGGACCCTTAAAAACATGCCAGGTAGGGTCATGCCTGCTTAGGCTTCTAATCCCCACGTGGACTGCAAAGTACCCCTGAGCCCGTGAGCCTACCCTATGTCCAGGGTGGTTCTTTGACCAAACCATATGTATTAGTTTGCTATAGCTGCTATAACAAATGACCAAATTTATTTCCTTACCGCTCTGGAGGTCAGAAGTCTCAAAATCAGTCACTGGACTAAAGTCAAGGTGTTGACAGGACTGGTTCCTTCTAGAGGTTCTAGGGAGAATGTTTCCTTGTCTTTTTCAGCTTCTAAAGCCCACCTACATTCCTTTGCTCATAGCCCCATCCTTGAATCTTTCCAAACTCCTGCTCCCATCACATCTACTCCTGACTCTGACCTTCCTGCCTTCCTCTTATAAGGATCCTTATAGTTATCAGGGGCACCTAGTTAACCCAGATAATCTCCCCATCCCAAGGTCCTTAACTTAATCACATTTTCAAAATCCCTTTACCATGTAAGAGAACATATTCACTGGTTTCGAGGATTAGGACATGGAAACCTTTGCGGGGACATTAACTAGCCCTCACCCCATGTATCTTAACTGTTACTGCGACAGAGAGTGAGCTGTCCTTCTGCTTGAAATATTGCCCTCCCTGTGGCCCTTCGTGTGCCCCAAACTCTCTCCTCAGTCCTCCCCAGGCTGGTTAGGTGCCTCTCATCAGTGCTCCAGCAGTCCTGAGATCCTTGCCTGAGGCCAGATTGTGGGCTCCAGGATCCTAGTGGGTTGCCATCAAGAGCTGGCAGCATGGTCTGGGGGAGGACCGTTTAGCTGGATGCTTCCCAAACAAGGCCAAGAAATATTTGCACAGTGACGACATCTGAGTGCTTGGGTTGGGGGTGCAAATGCAACAATGAGCACTTTGGTACCAGAAAGGAGTCTGGGTGGTGGCTGAAATTCCGTTCATACTTGTGCCTGCAGATAAACACTATTAATACAGAAATGCTGTGTCCTGGAATGGTGGGTAGGCTGGAGGTGCAGGAGGTGACCGTACAACTCGAGTCATCTCGATTCCAGCCTTTGTTCTGGCACAATGGGTTGGATAGGGGGCTGGCTCCCTCTTCCTCCAGTGGGGGTCAATGTGTGAATGAGGGGTCTGCAGACTAGCAACTGGGGATGAGGAAATGTTCCCACGCCTGCCTGACTTTCCAACATCTGACCAACATGAGGTCAGCTTGGCAAAGCCTTCATATAGAACAAGAAGGACCCCCTCCCTCCCTCCACGTTCTTCCTTGTAGGACAAGCCTTCTAGAACTTTCTCCCAGGCTGGCAGATGATGGACCACCACCTATGGCCTTTAATTCTCACCCTAGGGGGCCATGAACTGGGGATGAGGGCATGTGACAAGTAACCTGATACTAATTATTAAACCACTAAGAATTGTGAATGCGTTTCCTTAAAAGAAAGCATCACAGAGAAATAGAAGATGGGTACCCAAGGGCTCCAAGAAAGACCCTTCCTTGCTGGGAGG